CCCTAAACCCTAAACCCCCAAAAGTGCACAACCCTTAAGTTCCTTTGAGGGAATATGCGCCCCTTTGGGGGTCTATAAGGGTTTCTCTCATGGATCGATTTTGGAATCCTTTACACGGCGGTTTGGGTTAAATCAATGCCAAATCCCAAAAAACCTGTGAACCTCAAATACTCCCCAAGGTCACCTAAACCCTAAACCCTAAACCTTCTGCGTTTAGGACTTACGGCTTTCGGGCTTATAGGCTTTAGTCTTTGGCGGTACGACGCAGGATGCGAGCCGAAAGCGAAAGCCCCAAGCTGCACCCTTGGGTTTAGGGTTTAGGGTTTAGGGTTTAGGGTTTAGGGCTCGAAACCTGCATGGAGTTTGCGTTTGGGGTTTAGGGTTTCGGGTTTGGGGGCTCGGGTTTGGGTTTCGGGTTTCGCGTTTCGGGTTCCTAAGTCTTGCACCCAGAACCCTGCACACCAGCAACAAGATACTAATGCAATGACTCTGTCGGGATCGAAGTTCGGGACAAGTCGCCACCTCTCTTACCCTGTGCACAAAATGCATGCTCAGTAATTCGCTCCCTGCACCGATATCCTTCACTCGTCCACCGGCGTGCATCATCAGCAGGATGCGACCTTCAGCGCGCCTTCTTGGGGATGCCATCAGAGAAACAGTGACGCCGCTTGTTCGTTGTGCTACTGTCGGCGCTTGCTGCCGTCAGCAACGGAACGACTTCTGCATGGCCCATTTGAGAAGCTAGCATAAGGGCAGTGGCATCATCACGCTTGGTCAAACTCTTGTCGGCACCCGCCGCCTCCAGCAAGCGCGCGACTTCCATGTGGCCTTCTTGAGATGCAAGCATCAAAGCAGTGAGACCGTTATTGTTGGCTAAGTTCTTGTCGGCACCGGCAGCTACCAGCAAATGCACCACTTCCAGATGGCCGTCACGACAAGCTAGCATCAAAGCAGTGAAGCCGCAATTGCCGCATAAGTTCTTGTCGGCACCGGCTGCTACCAGCAAACGCACCACTTCCACATGGCCCTTGTGAGAAGCTAGCATCAAGGCAGTGACACCGACCTTTTTGGCTAAGTTCTTGTCGGCACCGGCAGCTACCAGCAACTGCACGACTTCCACGTGGCCGTTTTGAGACGCTCCCATCAAAGCAGTGAAGCCGTTATTGTTGGCTAAGTTCTTGTCGGTACCGGCAGCTACCAGTAAATGCACGACTTCCACGTGGCCGTTTCGAGAAGCTAGCATCAAAGCAGTGTAACCGTCATTGTTGGCAAAGTTCTTGTCGACACCGGCTGCAAGCAGAAAACGCACCACTTCCACGTGGCCGTTTTGAGAAGCTAGCATCAAAGCCGTGAAACCGTTATTGTTGGCTAAGTTCTTGTCGGTGCCCGCCTCCAGTAGTAAACGAAGGATTTCCACCTGGCCTTCTGCAGATGCCAACATCAGTGGAGTTGTGCCATGCACGTCGGCCACGTCTGGGTGCCGGGGCTGCTGTAAAATGGCCTCAACCTGCTTGCTTGTTCTCGAGTGTGCTGCTGAGGAGGGGTTTACGATCTGAGGGGACGGAGTTCATGGTTTCACCCCCAGTTGTTCCAATGTTCAGAGTTTATTCGGTTTGGGTCAGAGTTTATACGGTTATCTAGGGCTGGTGTTAGCTTAGGAGCAAGGGGGTCTGGGGTTCCAAAGTTCAAAATCAGGGTTAGGGTCCGGTGGAATGTTCTGCACCGAGGAACCTTGGACATCGAACCGTTCGCAGAGGCAACCGCCAGCTCTTCAGCTTCTGCCTTTGAAGTCACGGAATATGAAAGCAGGACCAGATCCAGCTCCATGGACGAGTCTAGCTGGGCGGAGTCATCTAAGAGGATGCCGCCGAGGAAAAGTCGCTGCCTGAATCGCACGGGCAAGCCGTGCTTGCGATTCAGTTGTTGCTTTAATGCCCTCGCATCGCTCAACTCCTCCACGGGGATGCGCACCACTTCGTCGCCTGATAGCATCCTCACACGAAGCATTAGTTGTTGGACAGCCGGTTGTCAAAACGTTCTGACCGCGGCAGAAACGGCCGATACAGGGCTCCTGCCAGAAACCTGTGAAACGAAAATGTGCGAATGTCTTGCCGTATTGCACGTAATGAACAGTCATATTGTGCGCTTGAATTTGACGGCAATCGTTTCGCAGCAGGCACATCTACTGGCAAGCTTCATGAGAAACGGTGATGTGCAGGAGTGGAACACTCTGATCCCGCTGGCAGTGGTGGTATTAGTAGTAGTAGTAGTAGTAGTAGTAGTAGTAGTAGTCGTGGTGGTGGTAGTAGTAGTAGCAGCAGTAGTAGTAGTAGTAGTAGTAGTAGTAGACAATAACCTCAAACCCACAGCTCAAAATCATGCTACATGGACTGGGGCTTGGGGGTATTAGGGTTCAGATTTAACTGTTCGGATTCAATATAGGAGCCTTAATAATTACTTATACTTTTGGAGGCTCCTCGTTACAATTGTACTGTAATATACCCCAAACCCTGTTCTAAATATTAAGGCGCCTATATTAGCTTTTACATAATTGGTTTGCCACTCCAGACTATTTGTGGAACGCGCAGAAGTAGCAACGGCGAGTGCTCCAGACTCGACCCTAACCGTCAATCCTAAACACGTGAACAAAGGCTTAAGGTTTAGGGTTTATAATATAGGTGCCCTTATAGAAACCCTAAGCACATCTTGCACCTGGTACTGGGCCAGCAGTGGCGCAGGGGCCCAACGTTCACGCGGCCTGTCGCGCTCGCTGGCAGCGACCTGCCAAACTCTAAGTGTGGAAAGTGAGGTCACGCTCGGGGTCAGGTGTCCCTCTAACAGTATCGTGAACAAGAACAATAACAATGGAACAACAACAACACCAACAACACCAACAACACCACCACCAACAACAACAACAGCAGCAGCAGCAGCAGCAGCAGCACCAACAACAACAACAACAACAACAACAACAACAATAACATTACAACATACAAATACTAAAACAGCAGCAACAGCAACAGTCGTCATTGTCGTAGTCACTGAGCACAGCCATGATCATAACCCTAAATTATAGCCTAAGCTCCTAAACCCCAAGCCCTACGCCCCAGGCCGTATAACCCTGTACAAAATCGCAAACAAAACACATGCCCCAAGTGGCCGGCAAGAGCCAAGAGACCCATACACATAGAAAGCAGCCCTAAACCCTAAACTGCCCTAAGCCTCAGGTGCCATGACAAGGACCCACGCACGCATGAGTCATAAGAGATGAATCTTCAGGGTTTAAAATGTTTTTGCCCATAGGCTCCATAGTAGCTCTTTCTTGTGGCTCATATTCGGGATCCTTTTTTGTAATCCCAACAAGGAACTACTATGGAGGCTATGGGTAGGGCTACCTAAGTACACCAGAAACCATCCTGAACTTAAACCCTAAACCCTAAACTCTAAACCCTAAACCCTAAACCCTAAACCCTAAACCCTGAGAGGCCTCTGCAGGAGACAATCCATCCGCGTTGCGATGCCAAAGGCTCGGAAGGACACGTGGGTCGGCAATGAGAATCCGCACCTGAGGACAGCGCGAGTTTAGGGTTTAGGGTTTAGGGGTTTAGGGTTTAGGGTTTAGGGTTTAGGGTTTAGGGTTTAGGGTTTAGGGTTTAGGGGTTTAGGGTTTAGGGTTTAGGGATTTTTGCCATGAGTTGCGGCTTATGCATTCAGTGTCTCGGATGATCCCGTTTGGCCCATCACAAGTTTTGAGGATGTCAAGTGGAAGTGCTCAAAATGCACACTCGAATGCGCGACGCTGGGGTTCATTATGGCATCGTTATCGTATTAAGGAACATTAATAAGGAGTAGTATTGAATGAGCAGTTAATCAGGCCTCTATAGGGGTAGTTCTCTGAATTAGGGTGACGTTTCAGGTCCCGGACATGTACGGTACCCTTATGGAGAAGCGCCCAAAAAAAGGGACCCCAAATTTGGAGAATTACTCATATAGGGACCTCCAGGGCCAGCGTATTTAGGGGGTTTAGGGTTTAGGGTTTAGGGTTTAGGGTTTAGGGTTTGTGATTACATGGGTACATGGACCCTCAGGGTTTAGGGTTTAAGGTTGGTTATCAAACGGTGTACAGACGCAGAGCCTTCTGGAACGTAACTCCTACCCAGACAGGACAAGATAGAGGGTTTAGGTTTAGGGTTTAGGGTTTAGGACTTGTCCACCAGATCTTGCAAGGGGTGCGGGTATGTAGAAACCGTCCACTGCACCATCCTGTCTGCAGCCACTGGAACTAGGTCAAGGCGTCCAGAAGAAGCATACCAGTGCAGCGGCGTGGCACCTGGCAATCCTAAGGTAAAAGCCAAAAAGGTTGGAACATCAGTAAACCCTAAACCCTCAACCCTAAACCCTAAACCGGGTCAAGCATAGGGAACCCCGAACTTGTCTCCCAAGCCCTCCAAACCCTGCTGGTTCGTGAGTTTTCTGCACCAGTGGCCACTGGCCTGCATAGTGGAGTGCGGCTTATCACTACTGGACCTACATGCACTTCAGTGTAGTTCTTGTTTTGGGCTACTTTATAAGACCCCCCCCCAAATTGGTGGTCTAAACCCTAAACCCTACGAGCAGTCGGCCAAGCTGGGCACGTTGTTCAGCAAGCGGAGTCTCAGCGTTGTTGACGCGTGCCTCCAGTTGCCTCAGAGACCTCCAAATGTCAGCATTCAAGGCACTCTGTTGAGTGCTCGACCACGCCACATCGGAGAGCTTGGCCGNNCCTGAAGCGCCCCATAGACCGTTGAAGGTCCAAAAGCCGCAGTTCCCACAAATTCGGCGCACTTGGAGCAGGTCCGGGGGGAGACCGCGAGCGAGAGCGCCGGCGGACGGCAGCAGGCCCCGGAGAGACGCCAGCCGCCATCGACTCACCACGCAACCCAGGGGCATCATCAGCACTAAAGCCCGACAAGCAAAACTGAAAAAACTACAATGGCGACTATCGGCAAAGTTTTTAACCTGAAGACACCGCAACCCGGCAGTGCTTCAGATTTGGGGTTTGGGGATTTAGGGGTTTCAGGGTTTAGGGTCAGCGGTTAAGGGTTTAGGGTTTCGGGGTTTGGAGGGGGTTTGGGGTTCAGGGCTGTAGGGTCTCAGAGTTTAGCGGCACAAGGCTTTAGGGTTTGTTGGGCTCCTGGGGTCGGCTGTCATCAGTTTAGGGTGTAAGGTTTAGGGTTGAGCCTAAACCCTAAACCCCTAAACCCTAAACCCTAAGCCCTAAACCCAAAGCCTTAAACCCTAAACCCCTAAACCCTCAACCCTAAGCCTATAAACCCTAAGCCTTAAACATTAACCCCTAAACCCAAAGCCCTAAGCCTATAAACCCTAAGCCTTAAACCCTAAACCCCTAACCCCTAAACCCTAAGCCCTATAAACCCTAAGCCTTAAACCCTAAACCCCTAAATCCTAAACCCTAAGCCCTAAGCCCTAAGCTTTAAACCCTAAACCCCTAAA